TGCCCATTGCCCTCGGCTCTCCCATCTCCCTGCAGAAAATCATCTCCCGCGTGTCCCACTCTTTTTTTTTTTCCTTTCCCGGATCCTCTCTTCAGATCCCTATGCCCGTTAGCCCCTGCTTTGCTGGAGCTCGCAGCCCTGTCCCGGCAGCGCGTGGTCGGTGTGAATCACGGCTCACGCTCGCTTCACATCTAGCGACCACAAATGAAGCAGGAGCGGGTGTAAAAAACTGGTTACGAAGCACCTTGGGAGATCTTTGTGTTTCCCGCTGCTTTTTCAGTGATTATCAGTCCCCCTTTTGAACCAGTCTGCAATACCAAGGGCTGGAAACATTTCATCAACATTGGTTAAATGAAACCTGAGGTTCTGGAGGACGAAGATGCCTTCAAGGGCTAAGGCTTAAATATTTCACACTATAAAACTCCGGATAAAATTGCAGAAGTCGGCCCCACCGAGAAAGTCCTGCCATCATTTAAACAACATCGTGCATGGCTCGCTTTGCCTGCCAATTGGCTGCCTGAATTTGAGATGACCCCGAAGCACCTCATGACTGTCCCTGGCACCGCTTTGGGGGCAGAGCTGCCACTGGGCCACCACAGGAGGGCAGTGCGAGTTTGAGCGAGCCGGGAACCCGGTGGAGAACGGATGAGCTGAAACAGGGCGGGGGGAAAGCCCCAAATCGAGCTTGCGGCGCCTCGTTTTTTCTGCAGACGGGTCTCGCATGGGGGTGTCCACCATCCATGTCATCCGCTCGCCTAAGAAAACCAAATGTATTTACAGGGGCACAGCAAGCTTTACAAAACTGTACTTGCTCTGCACACTGGGAAATTTTAGCCATTTCTGCATGATTTTCTTTCAATGAAACCAGCCCAAAGGCACCTGCAATCAGCAGCAGATCCCAGGAAAGCCGGTGCTGGGGGGGCTGGAGGGACCATCTCGCCCTGCGGCACCGTTAAGGACGTACGAACCACTCGCTGCTTCGGGTAATAGTTTATTTTCTCCAGGGGTGGCAAATGTGCAACAGGTACGTTTATAGGACTGCCATTTCGTTAGCCAAGGGGAGTCGCGACCCAACAACAGACCGAAACAAAGAAATCGAATAGTCTACCGCCCTACAGCAATTAGTGCAAGTCAGGGAAAACATCAGTTCGACACAGGAAAACAATGAAAAAGGTGTTTCCAAGCCACAGGTATTTTCTGCGGGGCCACGAGGTGGTTACGCCGCTCGGGGAAGCGAGGGGGACCTGCTGGTGACCGAGGGACGGCGAAATGGCAAAGGCTATTCCTTTCCTTTTTCAGTATTTCGTTTCTCCCGAGCCACTGCAAGAAGATGCTGGTGCACAGATCTCTGAAGGGTGGTGAGCGACGACGGGCAGGGAGTCGCCTTTGCAGCTGAACGCCCGGCCCGCTGTGTGCAGCAGATATCCCTTTTTGCAGCACCACCCGGTGAAAGCAAACACGGCCCGAGCAGCGTTTCCCCCGCACCGTTTTCCCCACCGTGGTCTGGATTATGCAGCAGATAAGAGCAGCTGGTTAGGAGGGAGAGTGTAGCCATATGTTGCTGCTAACAAGCATTTACTGAAGCTGGTTTCTTTCTGCGATTCCCATGTGCCTGATTAGCGCACAGCTCCTCTGAGCAATTTTCAGATTTCACCCCCACCTCGGATCTTTTTTTTTTTTCTTTTTTGGCATTAAAAAAATTAGAGCAGCCAGCGTGCGAGCATAAGACTGGGTTAAAAACCACAAGATTAAAAAAAAAACACTTCAGAAACATATTAAATTTAAATGGCTAAAATGTTAAGTCACTTCACTTTTTTCCTGCGATTTTTTTTTTTGCTCAAAAAATACCCTGCTTGTTTGGAACATGCTAGTGAGAAGCTAGCAAGGCTCGCAAAGCCCGGGCTGCAGACGCCCTCCCAACGCTGTGCTTTCCCGGCCACCCAGCCCCTCTCGGGGGGCCACTGCCTCCTCCAGCCATGGGATGATTTTACATATGTGGTTTTTTACAATTTCTGTTTTTGTGGAGGTGTTTTTTTTTTGTTTTTTGGTTTTTTTGGGGGGTGAGAAACACCCTGCCTCTGCAGGGCTGTGCCTGCCCAAAAGCCCCTCGCCATGGGCTGGCCGAGGCTGAGCAGGTCCCCACCGGGGGGATGTGGGGCCCTGGAGAGCGCCGACTCGGTGCCCACTGCGTGGCACATCCAGGCTCTCAGTGCCGCTCGGGGACGGAGAGGGCAGGGAAACGAGCAGCAGCCCGGGGTGCTGTGCTGGGGCTGCGGTGGGGCGTGCGAGCTGCGGGCTGTGCCCAGGCTCGGGAGGGCAGACTGGCCCTTCGCGTCCCGTGCTGTGCCCAGAGGGGCTGATGTTAGCGCATGGGATATTTAACGTCCTAGGCGTTGCCATGCCGCACCATGGGAACTGTTGGTGTGCATTATGCAGAGCTGGGAACTACTGGTAGATAATGGTCAACATCTACCCTACCAAAGCCCCTGTCTGCCCAGAAGAGGGTAGCTGCATCCAAATGACCTGTTGGGAATGGTCCTGGGGCTGTGCTAATGTCTCATCCAGGCCTGGGAAGGGTTTGGGATGGGGCTAGTTGACCCCCTTCCTGCTAGGGTCTGCCCTGATGGCTGCAGCCTATCCGGGACCACAAGCGCAAGTGCCACCACGTCCGCGTATGTGTCTGCTGTTGAGCCACCTCCTCCTGGAGCCCGATATTAACGACTGCCATAACTGAATTTCCTGTGTATTTCCAGAGACGGCTGAAGGATCCCATGGCCAACTGTGGCACTTGGTTTTCATGAAGTAAGTGCGATAGGGCAGGTCTGCCTTAGGTGGTCTGGTGAACATCTGGCTTCTCAAACATCAGTAAAGACAGTAGATGGGGGGGGGAAGGGGGGAGATACACCTTACTTTGCTATAGCTAAAGGAAAGCAAAGCAGTTACTCCAAGCTAGTTTTTCCAAACCACACTAGTAAATAGTGGATAGGCAGGTGCAGTCGAATTCGGGTGATTCATCCCATGCTTGGGAGGTCCAACGTAGGTGGGATGAATCACCTTCCAGCAGTACCTGCCTCCCTCCAGAGCAATGGCAAGTTTAGATGAAGGCTGGAATTCAGCTTGCGGATTAGGACACCCAGACTTCAAGTGTCAACATGTAGATGTCTCAATGTGCACAAGGTGTCTGTTACTTAACTTAGAAACGGCTGAACGAAGTGGGAAGAGGCCCACCATTCATACCTGGCGCATATTTTCCAGGGCTTTGCACCGCTTTCGAAAAGAAGCATTAAAATATCAAGGAAATTCTGCAGCTCCTTAGCTGCAAGAATAATTACAGGCCTTGTGTCAGGGATAGCTGTGTGGCCAAGTACCTGCTGCACCCAGGCCACGGTGAGAAGACGAGCAAGAAGCCACCGTGCCAAGGCTTGGTGCTCCTCACACCTGTGTCAACTGGAGAAATGTCGCTGCAGTAGAGAACTTGCCTGGCGTGGGGAAGGAAGGAGAGCAGAACCTCCAGGGAACGCTCTCCAAACTTGGCTATGCACCCACATTGATACCTGTGGCCTGGAGACACCCACACAACACTGAAACGGGAAGAAATAGGTTTTGCTATAGTCATCCCTCCCTGTCCCCAGCGTGCGCTCAACCAGCTACGTACAACCCAAACCAGCGCAATCCGGGAAAATCAACCTTAACTTATTCATGGTCATCGGAGTCGCCACGCAACTGGCTCCCTTGAGCCAGAAACGATCCTGGCCAGATGCTTAGATAACCTGTCATTGGTTTCTTTTTCAAAAATTACCTTTGGAAATTGCCAAATTTGGATGGTGGGCAAACCTGAGTAAGTAGCCAGGCCACCTCCAAAACGTGCCGCCCCACTCAGCTTCTCGAGCAGCTTGGCCTTCCCAGGTTTGCAAAAGAACCACGTCTTGCTAAGAATTTAAGAGCATCAATTAACACAGTTTAATAAATACCTAAAAGGATCTAGTCTTTCTTTTTTTTCTTTCGGTTTCTACCTTCAATAAAAGTTAAGGATGATTGTCCCGTGAGTAACTAAGGCAAATTTGCTTGCATGTGTTGTCGCTCTCTCTCCTTTTTTGTTTGTTTTTTTTTTCATTGTTTTGTACATAAAGCAATCACATAAAAATAGTTATAAATAGAAAAATTGCAAAGGTTTTCCCCCAATAGACAAATAGGAAAAAAACCAAACCCAAAAACAAACCAACAAACAAATTGAGACAAAAAAACCACCTTGCTTCAAGTTCTTGTAGATTATACAGTACTCAGCATCTTTGGATACTTTACAATGACTCCAAATTGTAGACAAAAAACACCTGAAGTAACCAGTCATCTGCAAAATGTAGTTTGTATAAGAAGTCGATTCAGAATAAAAAAAAAAAAAAGTTTGATGCAGTTTTAAAAAGTTTTCTTTTTCCTTTTTTTTTTTTCTCTCCACTGATTTGTTGCACACGGAGTCTTTGCAGATGTATTTTTGGGAGGAGAAAGCTAGCATCAGGCAGTTTATTAGGATCATTCATTGATGCATGTTCTCTGAACAGAAAGGACTCGCTCCTGCCCTGGCGGGAGGAAGCAGGGGGAGGCGCGACTTCGAAGCCTGCACTCGTTGCATCCGCCGACACCAAAAAAACGCTCCAGCAGCGAGACCCTCGTTCAGCCGTGGCTTCAGAGCAGCACCAGCAATGGATAAAACCAAAATTCAGACCAAAAAAAAAAAAAAACCCTACAGTCCTCTTGTTCCCTTTGATTCTGCTGATGTGGAAAGATAACAGTAAATAGAGCAAACAAAAAAAAGCCCTAATTTTTAACATTTACATTTTTTGAGTTCCTGTTTTATGTAAAAGCAGCCAAGCCGTACTCTCTTAACTCACTTTTCTTAAGGTCAAGACGCTCACCCTGTGGCTGCTGGGCGGGGCTCGCGGGGCTCTTCCAGCCGCTTCTGGGCCTCGAGGGAAATGGGGGAGAACTATCAGCTCGAGGATGCCCTAGCACTTGGTGACAATGTCGCTGGGGGGGGGGCACTTTAGGGGAAGCCTTTTTGACAAAGGTCCCCCGAGGCATGAAAATACACACGCAAAGCTTTTTTTCTATTCAGAATTGCAGATTTGGTGACACCCAAGTGTGTTGCAAATTTCTATCACCAAAATACATATAGAATTTTTTTTTTTTTTGAGGGAGGGGAAGGAATGAAGGAGAAATATCCAGACTTTTCAAAATGGTCAGCGGGCATGAATCCAAGTGAGCTGTTCTGCCTCTTTGGTTTGAACTGACTTTTTCAGTTCAAAACCCCCACGTGCTTTATTTTTGCAACGCGAGGGTTAAAAAAAAAAAAAAAAAGCTCAGAATCAAAACATTTCCCCTCCTTCCAAAAAAACAAAAAAAACCTTCACATTTGTAAGCGACCGAAGTTAAGACGCTCAGAACGGCATTTGGTTCTCCTTTGGAAATTCTGAAACGGCACCAAAATAACCCAAACTTCCCCCAGCTTCGCTCCTGGATGATATTCAACCTCTTTTGCTTTTAGGGTCCCAACTCGTCCTGGACAGCGGGGCTTTCGCCAACCCCAAAATCCCTCGGAGGTGTGTGACGTGCAGTGGTCGGGACCCTTGCCCTTCTCCACCGGTGTGCCCTGGTGGGTCCCCCTCGCCTTCGCCACGGTCCCTTGTAGAATAAATTTTGTTGCCGGACATGGGAATTAAAAAGGAAAAAAAAAAAAACCCAAAAAGTCCTTTTGACCAAAAGGGCCGAGGAATGTAACGTATCAAAAGACAGTCTGGACGGCTCGTCCGTGCCCAGCTGGCGGGTGGAAAATGGCCACGGTCTCCCCAGAAGAGCTGTCCCGCGGAGATGGCCGTGTCCCCCGGGGCTAAGGCAAGCGACGTTTTTAGGGGTGTCGAAGAGAGCGGCAGCCCCGGCGGGGCCGGGATGGCAC